CAACAAATATCTGAAAATTTCTGATAATCGCATTTCGTTTTACCTGAAAATTTCTGATATTAGTATTTCGTTTTCACACAACAAATATCTGAAAATTTCTGATAAATCGCAGTTCGTTTTATCTGAAAATTCCTGATAGTAGCATTTCGTTTCTCTGATATTCGCATACATAGCCGAAAATTTCTGATGTTAACATTTCGTTTTCTAGGCATATTCTACCTAAGGAGGCAATTCCTGTGTGTTCATCGTTTGCTGACGATCTGACACTGATGGTGGATGCCTCCAAAGAATCAATGGAGGAGGTGTAACACATGATGGATCGTTTGTGCACATTGTCAGACATGAAAGTCAACTGGGGAAACAAAACCCTTGGGTGATGGATACACCACCAAGGAGTAAGACCTTCAGAACAGCCAAGAATTAACTGGCTTCCCAAAGAAGCCCCCATCAGGGTGCTTGGTATCTCCATGACGGCAGAAGGCAGACCTCCAACAAATAACGAGTGAATCTCTACACCCCCCATGGCCAAAATGACTCTCTGGAGGGACAAGCACACCTCGTTGTTCGGTCGTGTCCTGGTCATCAACAATGTTGTTCTAGCCTTGATGTGGTACAAATCTGCCATTTGGGCCTTGGACAAGAATGCCTTACGCCCGGCGACGCCAGATATCCGCCTTCCTATGGCGAGGAGATCACGAGCGACAAAAGGTACTAAGTCGGGTGGCCTGACATTCTATTATTCAACCCAAAAATCGGGGAGGCTTGGGCATCATCGACCCCCTATTGCAAACTAAAGCACTAGCCCTGCAATGGTTCAAGCGCCTCCTTTTCAATCCTGAGATCCCCTGGAGAGGGATGGCACTAAAACAGATCTCGCGGCTAGCACCACAAACGCCAGAAGAGCCTGAGCCGCTAATGTGGCTGGAAAATAGAGAATGACCTATCCCTCGTACAAGAGTGCAGCGTGGGGACCCCTATCCTGACTGCCCCAAGCAAGCAACCAAAGCCGACCTGCGACACGACCCCTTTTGGCCCACCCTTCTTAGGACATGGAGGAGCCTGCCCCCCCCCCGACAAAACAGCACCAGACAGATGGGAGGAGGTGGCGCGCCAACCCCTCTTCGGAAACAGATGGGTGGTAGACTCGACGGGCCGCATGCTTCTGTGCACGGACTCCCCCTGGCGGAGCTGGATCAAGAAAGGAATAATAAGGGTTAAGGATATATGGGATACGGATAAGAAGGACTGGACCAGACCCGACCAGCTCTGAGAGAAACTGCAGTACTGCCACCGACCGCATGAAGCCATGGAGAAGCTAATTGAGATGATCCCGCTAGCATGGTGGAGAATACTTCACAAAGGCCCCTCCCTGCAGGAGCTGGACTGGGTCGCAGTCAGAGACCGGCAAGGCAGTGTGGGTAGGGTGGTCCGCAACCCCCAGGACGGTACAGTAGTTGTGCAGATCTCACCGGTAGGGCAGGAAAATCATTCAAAGAGAACCCGACGAAGTTAATCTATCCTGCCGAATAGAGGAGGTTTATAGAATCCGGGTGCTACAAGAGAAAGAGCAATGGATAGCTTACTCTCCCGGCACTCCCCTGCAACACCTTGCCTTGGACCCGGCGGAGTGGTCATGGTCAACCCAAGGTAGGCAAGGCAAGAAATTCACAAAATCCTTACATGCCTTGACTGTCAAGTCCGCCTACAGGCTCCTGAGACCGAATGTCGCCCTGCGAGACCAGGTGGAGGAACGCTGGAGAAACAACCTCAATATCAGGAAACAGGAGCTGCGACCGGTCCGGTGGTTCAAAACAGTCATTGGCCTCGCTCCAATGACAGATAGAACACCGCTGCCTCCCAACTAACAATTGGCTCATAGATAGAACGTCCCTGGAACAACATGGGCAGGCGCTTCCTTGGTGCAAACTCTACACAAACGCATTCCCGTCTCGTAAAAGGCCTGAGACTATCGAACATATATTCCTCCAATGCCCAGGAGCACTCTGGCTATGGAGATGGTGGGACCGAGTGTGGGATTAACTAGGGACAAAAGTCCAATGGCCCTGGGATTGGAAGGCCCTGTTGTGCAAAACTTGGCCCAAGGGTCTGACAGAGCATACGGACGAATTCACAGGGAATATGCTTAGGATGGGACGGGGGGCAATTCTCTGGGCACCCTGGCGGCGACGCTGTACTTTCGAAATGGAGGGGGCGCGATCGGAAGGCCCGGAATTCACTGAGAGCGTCCAGCAACAGATTCAGACAGAAATAACTGCAGAATGGAACGTAGTAAAGGCACGAATCAAACTCCTTCATAAACGAACTGACATCAGACAAAAAATCAAGGACTTCAGCTCAAACTGGCTTGGGGGTGTAGATGGAGGGAGGATAGGCAAGGTGGAATGAAAGGGAGAATCTACAGAACATATAGCTTCAGGGGAGGATCAACTAGGGGAGGAGATCATAAGAGACTACCACCTGCACTTCCATGATTGGACCAGAGTGGACGCCTCGACCCCACTGAAACCTCCGGAACACTTCCCTGACTTCTTCCCCCCCCCATCCAACTGTCTAGTGGATAGGACGTGGTATGGAATGGACTGTGCAGATCACTAGAGGGGACTGTACACGGGGTCCTCTGAATGATTTGGAAAAAATTCCGGATCCCTGATTGGCTTATTTGGCACCCTTTTGAGGGTGAAACGGTTATTGGATGTTTCTGTACAATAGAAGGGTCGCTAAATAAGTCCGAGTCCTTGATTGGCTTAACTGCCATCCTTTGAGGGTAAAGAGCAATCCCCTGGAATGCAGGGCAATCAATGCTGGCAGGTCTCAACTGTTACTCTGGGTCTTGACTGGTTATCTGGCACCCCTTTGAGGGTGAAGAGGATACTGGATGCTTTGGGGCAATAGAAAGGTTGCTAAATAGTTCCAGATCTTGATTGGTTTATCTGGCACCATCTCTGACGATGAAGAGGATACTATTTAGGACTGCTCAGTCAATCCCCTGGTAGCAGGGCAATCAATGCTGGCAGACCTCATCTGTTACCGCTCTCTTTTGTTCTCGGATTTTCTCAGTTCCTGTACATGGGACGCTGGACCCGCTTTCCAGCAGGTGACGCTCCCCACCAATAGACGGAGCCTCCCTCCTGGTGGTAGTGGTGTCTGCTCTTATCAGCAACACTAACACCGGCGGGGGTTKTTTMAAAAAAAAAAAAAAAAAAAAAAAAAAAAAATTGAAGGATAATGATAGAGGTGGTCATATTCTTGGAAACCGGATTTATTCTTTTCTGAAAATCAAATCTCCATTCTATCTCGCAATTTTTTTTTTTTGAAAACCGAAATCTTGCGAAACCTACCAGCATTTCATTCATATTAGGAGGGTGCCATATTCTCAGAAACTAGATTTAGTTCTTTTCTGAAAATCGCATCTCTACTCTATTTCGCAATTTTTTTTTTCAAGATCGCATGTTTGTGAAAGCCGAAACTTTGCGGAACCTGGCCTAGATCTCGCTCATAGTACTTTTCTGACATACCTCACTCATAGCAGATCGACACATATGCAAAAAAAAAAAGAAAAAAAAGGGGGGGTGATCCTTTTTTTTTTTTTAATTTATTTATTTTAGTCTGTTGATTAGGACTGGGAGGAAAGTATAGCTGGGTTGGTTACCTACATAAGTTTTCCCTCCCACCCACCCCTTTGCATGCATTCCCGGTTTGGTACAGTGCCACGTCAGCAACAGTGCCACATCAGCAGTGCCACATCAGCAACAGTGCCACGTCAGCAACAGTGCCATGTCAGCAGTGCCACGTCAGCAGTGCCACGTCAGCAGTGCCACGTCAGCAGTGCCACGTCAACAGTACCACGTCAGCAGTGCCACAGTGCCACGTCAGCAGTGCCCCGCCACCATGACGGGCTCAGCTCTGGGCATGCCATGCCGACTGGCCAATGAGTTCATTGCCGAGTACCGACAGCGTTTCGAAGCTCAGCTCACACTGATCGAGGTTGAGGAACAGCGTCAGGCGGCAGCCGAGGCTGCCCGCCTACAAGCTGAAGCGGCGGCAACAGTTGAAAAGCAGCGACTTCAAGCCGAAGCCGAAGCAGATACCCAGGCACGCCGCAAGGAGGCCCAGGATCTGTTACAGCGGCATGAAGCCACCAACATCGAAAAGCTCAAGTTTTGGCATTTTGAACCATCTGAGCAGCACGACGACGCGACACCGGAAGAGCAGCGCAAGGAGTTCCTGGCCAAACTTGTGACCCGGTTGGTTTACACTTGTAACCACCGACAGTCCGAGCTGGCGAATCTCCGACGGGCGGTGCAAAACCACAAGGCTCTGCACGAGGATGCTACACGGACACTCGATTCCCGTGTACAGGACTTGGAGCAAGTTGCACCAAGACCAGATGCTGGCGAGTCCAACAGTGCACCCTCTACCCGCCAATTGGATGAATGAGTTGACCACGTAGTAGCAATGCTTGGCAACATCAGCACCTTCGCTGCACCAGCCACCATCAGCAAGCAGTTGGACACCTTGAAGATCGAGGTTCAGCAACTGCACCAGCTGCCCAACAAGGATGGCTTCACCGCGCAACACTACAAGATGCCGACATTCCAAATCGAGAAGTTCGATGATTATACGCATCAAGACCCGGTCCTTTGGTGGGAGGGCTTTACGACGCAACTTCGGATTCTGTTCGTCCCCAAGCACTCGTACGTCGGCGCGCTGTTCCTCAACTCAAAAGGCGGATGCCAGATTTGGCTCAGCCACCTGGCAACCATTCACGGCGTCCAAGTTGGGAAGAGTTAACATGACTATGGAAGAAGCGGTTTATCGTGGATGACGCTCCGGCGCTCGCCATAAACCGCCTCTTGGCTATGACGCAAGGCAACACATCGACACGTGACTGGCTCACGGAATGGCAAAAGATCGCGGCGACGCCGGATCTCGAATTGCCATTTTCGCATCTAAGTCGGGAGTTCTACAACCGGTCATGTGCCGCTTTGTGCCTTGCGCTTGGTGATCGCGAGCAATACACGACCTTCGCCGAAATCATCGACAAGGCAAGGGAGATCATCAAGACCAATAGGGCGGTTGCACACGAGAAGTCGGCATGGCAGCCAACCTATGTGGAGAAAGGAAAATTTGGTCCGCGTCCGCAGCATGTCGCTGCAGTCCACACGGACAACATTGTGGAAGACCCGGCAGCCACCCAAGCATCACGTGAGGGAGATTAGGTGGTTGTTGTCCAGCCGTGAAGCAACAACAACTCCCAAGGAAAAGGGAAGGCGAAAACCGCATCGCCGGCCGGAAATGGACAGCCAGCACCATGGGTCAAGTTTCACTTAACCGAGGCGGAATACAAGTGGAGCGACCATACGGTTGCTGCTATTGGTGCAACAGCACCAAGCACAAGACCTCCCAATGCCCGGATCAAGGCAAGGAGGTTGTTCGGCCTCGCATCAACTCGGGAAACTGAGTTGCGCGGGAGGTGAGGCGACTCCACCTCTCACTCCACCAGATTCGGCCGCCTTGCTAGCAGCCTCCTACACATCTGGGGAGGATGCGAATGTCACAAGTCCTCGGTTCACTTACAAGGATTATGTTGTCCACTTGGTCCCACCGTTGGACCAACCACTCCACGTGCAACAATCTACCGCATGCACAGTTTTACCACCAGCGACAACCGAACGGCAACTTCGTCGCCATCTACCGTTGGGGATTCGACGACATGGTCAAGACTTGCAGAGCTCGACCCGTTCACATTTGCGAACTTCCAATGGATGCCCCTTCCCCGGTCCGGTCGATTGCCGAAACCGCATTGCAACGTGCTCATGGAACAATTACGAGATTACTTGCACACTACAGTACCAACTCCAATGATGGACGCTGGAGTAGAGGTTGTTGACCTTTACGCCTACATTGCGAAGATCGACCGCGAGTTCAAGACACAACGGTACGACGACATCGACGCGTCATTGTTGTACATACGCATTCAGATCGGAGAGGTGACCTGCAACGCTTTGATCGATTGCGGAGCAACTCACAACTACATGAGTCAAAACTTTATGGTACGCGCTGGCCTTGGGCCACGCGTTCAGAGGAAGTCGCAGCCCACGCAAGTCACGTTGGCCGACGGTCACACTCACAAGTCAATCGACTGGTGCATTGATGCCGTCCCCGTGTACTTTGCCCCGCATGCAAGCGAGGCTGTGTCCTTTGATATTTTGGACACCAAGTTCAACATGATCTTGGGCATGTCATGGCTGCGAAGCGAGGATCACCCGGTGAACTTCTACCGCCGCACCGTTCACGTTCGTGATCGGAACGGAGTACTAGTCCCATGCACGGTGCCTCCTCCTCACCCTTCGATCAGCTGCCACGTGGTGTCCGCCGCAAGCATTCGAGCTTCCATCATCCAGGATGACATCGAGGAGATGGGGGTGTGTTTTCTCCACGCCCTCCCGCCCAAAGACATTCCATCGACGGACTCACCACCGGACTCACGCATCACCGAACTTCTCGACGCCTACGGCGACGTGTTCGAAACACCGCACGGAGTAGTACCGGATCGGCCCATCCACCACGAGATCATCCTCGAGGACGGGGCCGTACCTCCCCGTGGTTGCATCTACCGCATGAGCGAGGAAGAGTTAAGTGTGCTAAGGGCACAACTTGACGATCTTCTCGAGAACGGCTGGATTCGGCCTAGCTCTTCGCCATACGGTGCTCCCGTTCTCTTCTTCCGGAAGAAGAACAAGGAGTTGCGGTTGTGCATCGATTATCGCAAGCTCAACGCGCAAACTGTCAAGAACGCCGGCCCTCTTCCGCGCATCGACGACCTCCTCGAACGACTGGGCGGCGCCAAGTTCTTCTCCAAGCTTGACCTCAAATCGGGATATCACCAACTCGAGATCCGGCAGGAGGACTGCAACAAGACCGCGTTTAAGACGCGATATGGGCATTTCAAATGGATGGTTATGCCTTTTGGCCTTACGAATGCCCCAGCCACATTTCAAGCGGCTATGATAACGGAGTTCCGACACATGCTGGATAGATTCGTACTCATCTACCTCGACGACATTTTGGTATACAGTTGGAGTTTGGACGAGCATGTGGAGCACCTGCGCACCGCTTTGGAGTGGCTACGACAAGCCAAGTACAAAGCCAACCGCGACAAATGCGAATTCGCGTGGCAAGAGCTAGAGTACTTGGGACATTATGTGACGCCGCAAGGCATCCGTCCGCTTGCGGACAAGATCGAGGCCATCCGCGTATGGCCCGAGCCCACCAACACCACGGACGTTCGTTCATTCATGGGGTTGGCGGGCTACTATCAACGCTTCATCACCGGGTACTCAAGGATTGCCGCACCTATAACGAGATTACAATCGCCAAAGGTGCCATTCGTATTCGATGATGACGCACGCCGATCATTCCAATGCTCATGGCACCCGTCCATAGCATCTACGACTCCACCCTGCCAACGAGAGTGACAACCGACACTTCCGGCTATGGCATTGGGGCAGTCTTGGAACAACATGACGGTGACGATTGGCACCCTGTGGAGTATTTCAGCCACAAAGTGCCTCCCATCAATTCACTTGATGATGCAAGGAAGAAAGTGCTTGCATTCGTGATGACTCTCAAGCGATGGCGGCACTTCCTCCTTGGGCGTAGTAGGTTACTTGGGTCACGAACAACAACCCATTGACCTATTACAAGACGCAGGATACGGTGAGCAGCACGATCGGACGATGGATGTACTTCATCGACCAATTTGACTTCACACCGAAACATCTCCCCAGCCTCTCCAATCACGCAGCAGATGCACTCTCGCGAAGACCCGATCTGTGCGCTATGACACATCATGCCTTCGCATTCGATGAAGAGCTCCAGCGACACTTCATTCGGGGCTATGAGTCTGATCCGGATTTCGCCACGTTGTATGCGCAACTATCTTCGGATCACCCGCTGACCAGCCACTATCGCATCGTCGACGGGTACTTGCTCCTCCACTTGAGAGGCAAGGACTTATTGTGTGTCTCACGCGACCGTCGTCTTCGGACTCGCCTTCTCGGTGAGTACCATGACTCGCGACTCGCCGGCCATTTTGGAGTCAATCGCACTATTGCACGACTTCGGCAACGATTCCGATGGTCAGACCTCATTACCAAGTGACGCCTATTGACGTACCGAGTCAATCGCACTATTGCACGACTTCGGCAACGATTCTGATGTCACTCGGTATTGCGGCTCTTGCGAAGTTCGCCGACGAAGCAAGTCCCGCAACTGCAATCCCTACGGCGAGTTGCGCTCGATGTCTATCCCACAGGAACCCGGCCTCTCCATTGCCATGGACGTCACCGGTCCTTTTCCCGGGATGGGCACGACGACATCCTCATGGTCGTTGACCGTTTGAGTAAGTATGCGCGATTTCTTCCTTGCAAGTACTATGCCACGGCTCCCGAACTTGCACGCCTCCTACACAACAGCTGGATCTGCAGCCATGGAGTGCCGGAAGACGTTGTCAGTGACCGCGACACTCGCTACATGTTGGCATTTTGGATTTCTCTCATGCAGGAATCCTGCACGAAGATGAAACCAAGTTCGGCTCGGCATCCACAAACGGACGGGCAAACCGAGTGGGCACATAAAACCGCTCAAATGATTCTTCGTACGCTCATCCGTCCGGATCAGAAGGATTGGGTTGACCGCATCCCCGACATCGAGTTCGCCTACTTCATTGCATCCGGCGATCGGCGTAACTCCATTGGAGTTGCACCACGGTGGCCGGAAAGGCCGTATCTTCGTTGATCGTCTCCTCCCACGAACAGCCGACATAGACGCTGCTTGCTCCCCCTCTTCCGTTCAGAAGTACAGGGAATTGTTGGCTCAAGCCCGCGCGAACATGCAAAAGGCTCAAGTCTGCATGCAGCAGCAAGCCAACAGGCATCTCGTGCCATGTCCCATCCGCGCCGGTGATCTGGTATGGGTCTCCGCGGAAGAGTTTGCACCGGAACATGATGTTTCACGCAAACTGCTTCCCAAGTGGTTTGGACCATGGCCCGTAACATCAGCCACGAGCGATCAGCCCGATGACCCCTCATTTGTGATCAACATTCCCCCGCATCTGACGGTCCAGCCAGTCTTTCACGCCTCGAAGCTGGCAACATATGCACCAGCTAAGAGCGACGACTTCCCGAGCGGACGATCGCAGGACCCTCCATCTATGGATGGTCATCAGGAAGTTGACCGCGTCATCACGGATCGCAAGTACAGCAACAAGCCTCGACAGTACAAAGTTACATTCAAAGCATGTGATCCTGACGACACTCGGTGGATTTCAGGAATAGATATGAAAGCATCCGCACCGCTGATCTACGCTCACTACGAGCGACAAAGGTTACCTCAGGGAACTTCACGACCTACCCCTCCCACCCGGACTGTGGTCCCTCCCTCAGACAGACAGTTTCGCCCTCGCAGGTAAGCTCGGTCTTTCAAGGAGGGGGGGGGTGGCATACTGCGCAGCCACACGGGCTTGCAGGGCTTGTCCCGCAGTCTCAGCCTAAAAGCCTAGAAACAAGGGCTTACATGCCCGTATCATTTCAGCCTGAAAGACTGAAAAACGAGGGACTGCAGGCCCTATGACGTTTCAGCCTAAAACAAGGCCTTTCAGGCCCTGAGTCTTTTCAGCCTGAAACGGAGGGCCACTTTCGGACCCTCATAAGATCGACATGCCCTAACACTCAAGCACCAAACCAGGGTTTCGGAACAGGCTATTTTGACCTGTTCCCCATGCCAGCCTCAGCAGGAGCTGCAGCGGCAAGCCTTGGCTCACTTCGGCATTGGCAAGAGAAGCCTCCTGGACTGCCCCACCCTGCAGCTGCAGGCAGTCAGGAGGCAGGCCGAGTAGTACATAGGGAGTTCCCATGCACTTCACGGGTAGTCGGAGGCCAAGGCAGTAGTAGTCTTCAGGATTCGGCAGCAGCACTTTGGAGGAGCGCTGCAGGAGTAGCTTAGCGCTAGTAGTAGTCTTAAGTGTCGGGCGCTAGTAGCAGTAGCAGTATTCTTCAGCGCTCGGCGCTAGTAGAGGTAGAGGAGGTGAGAGAGAGAGATGGTTGGCAGAGGCTAGGGAGACTTACTTGTGGTGCCATAGCTCCAGCTTCATCTTCAAGGTACCTCCATCAAGGCACCAACTTCACAGGTTAGTACCGGACTGAGAGAGAGAGAGAGAGTTCTTCTTCTTGATCTTCTAAGTCCACCATCTCTTCTTCACCCTCTCACCACCTGACTTCTCAGTATCAGCGGACCACGACAGAGAGAGAGAGAGAGAGTTGTGACTTCAGACTTGATGACATTGGATCCAGACCCGACATTGGGATTCAAACATTTTGACAAGGGACTATTTGGGCGTGTGCCGAAGACTTGGTGTTGACGACATTCCCATCTTCCCCTCTTCTTCGTCTAACCCCCCTCTTCTTCGTCTGTGTATGGTTGGGGACTGGCGCATTCTTCCTGTGTGAGCGCCAGGCCCCTTCACACCATGGAGTGATAATGATGATGTATGTTCGGGGCTTCATTGCAATATTGATTGTTCGGATCATTGGTATCTAAGTCTTCCGCTACGCTATCTTGTACTTTGTGAGAGAGGTCGGTTCTTGTTCTGGTCTGCACCTTTACAGTATGCAACATTATGCAGGCCTGCAGAATGCGATGCTCGTTCCAAAGGAATCAACATGCGTTCGGTGTCATGCACGCACGAACAACTGTAATAGATACTATCACAGCCAAGACTTAGCAACCCCAATAAGGAACTGTGGGACATATTAAGGAAAGAACCCGACGTGACAAAAAAACAGGATTTGACTGATATATGACGTACCAGCTTCAGCATCCGTAAAAACTTATGAAGCCCCGAGTTCTGTTAGTTGTGCTTTTCTCGATTCTAACGGGCTTTAGGGGTACGCTTCTTTTTGGTTGGTGGTATGCATGGAATCAATGGTTGATGAGGCCCTTCTATTCTTTCAGACCCGTTGCTTTTTCTGAGGACTTTTTCGCAGTTTTTCTCCGGCAATCCATGGATTTATGTAGGACTTACGCACGCCTTAGTGAGCGTGCTAGAATTTTTTTTCGGCAGTTGGGAATTCCAGATTTTTTGGCCACACTTCCCGCTGGCGTGTGCTTTTTTTTTTTTTTTTT